ATGTAAGTTTATATTATGTAATATTTCAATAAGAAAGTGCACAGGTGCACATATCGGGGCGGCGGACATACCCACCGCTTTTTACAAAACGTTTTGATATTATCATTATTTTAATAAAGAGATGCCGTAAGAACTAATTTATTCATCATTACGATTTATATCCATATTGTATACAGATTCATGTAACATATTATACACGAAGAAATGACGAAAATAATGCGCCGAAGCCGCGACTACGCGTCGCGGTCCGTTCGCCTATCGTTATCTCCATTCTCTAATATTTTAAATGTACATGACACCAAATTCGAACGTATATAAATCCAAATTTATTTAATGTAAAATCTTAGGTAATTGATTTTTATTGCTATAGAAAATCAGTCAGCACGCGAAGCACGCAATCGAGAAGTAACCGCGAGAACGAAAGCAAGCGGGCGGCGTTGCGCGGGTGTGTGGGGGGGGGGCGGGGAGGCGGGTGCGGGATGCAGGTACGGGGAGCGGGGGAGCTGGGGGATGCGCGAGCGCCGGCGGCCGACAGACTGGGCCTCGCGCGCCTCGACTAGCTCCGAGGCCCGTCGAGGTCAAAGACCCGGACTTTAAGACCGGGGTCCCACTTTTAACCGTCCAAGAGTCCCGCGGGACCCACGATCGAAGCCCTATGAGGCTTCGGGTTCAAAACCACCGAAGTCACGGGTCCAAGACCTGCATTACCGCGACCGCCATGCCCGTTTGAGAATTCTCATAGCTATACTCATAGACACGCTCTGATGCTGCAATGTAAAAACCGATCGGCAGGGGTCGGTTCGTGCGGAGCCAATGCGCGTCCGGTTCTACGCGAATAAGTATACCTTTGGTCCTTGAAACATTAAGTTGGCCATCGCCGAATATGCAAAGCTACTGATCTATGGCCGCCACAGCGACTCTACGAACTTTACCAGTCTGTCACGTTATTAGATTAAAATTAATTATTATCTTTAATAACAATATAAAGTAGATCGAGTGTAAAATAACGTAGAATGTCATTATACAAAATATAATAAATCATCTTTTTAATTTTATTACATACATACATATACGATAAGTCGCAATATTAGGATCACAATTAACGAATTTTTTTAAAATAAATTTGAGATCTCGCTTATCATTACATAGTCTTTATTCTGATATAGAACACATTTCTAAAATGGTGACTGAAATAAACTAATGCGTACACGAAAAAGCGAGAGAGGATAGCACGGCGACAATTGTGAGCGGGCGGTGACCGCCCAGCGGTCAGGAGACCGCTCGCTCACTGCGTCGCCATGCCGAGAGGACGTCACTTTTACGTCACGGACTACAAAATCGGTCACAATCTAAAACTTCTTACAGTTAAAATTAATATCAACGAGCCAAGAATCCTTCGAATCAACATTGACTTTTTACGGCCATAACTATTTTAAATGCATAATCTTAAAGTACCTTAAATATTGATAAAGTTTTCTTTTGAAAATCCCTTTTATAGTCCATGATACTAAAAACAACCTCACAAAATCGTATTAACAAACCATAACAATAACAATGAAAACTAATATTCGTCAAGCTAATCCTTATTGCAGCTCGAATGAATCTAATATCGATCAGATGGTATCTAAGCAGCGCCAAACTAAGACCGATTACACACTGCCTTTTTAAATTGACCTAGTGTCGGTCGCGCCAGTCGATTCTCACAATCGATTAAATGTTTTCATTACTGAACTAACGCGGGTGCATTCGAAACTTCCCGAGAATTTAATACGAGTGAGGAACAAAAATAGTGTTTTTTTTTTCTCAACGGACAATTTCGAATATCCCCTAAACTATTTCGTAGGTTATGTAAACTCTTTGGTGTTAAGATTATCAGGTACCAGGTCTTTAAAAAAGCAAGCGTATACAATTTCGTAGGTCGGTGTTTACGTCAGCATAATGTGCCACAGACGGACGGTGCATCGGTCGCGCATACGGCAGTGAGGCGCTCACCTAACACTTCTTTTTACACATGCGGCTAACTATGTATTTACAATTTATCGTGACTGAATCGTCTCGGTGCAAACGCGGCGAACCGATGGCTTCTCACGAACGCGGCGAAACGAACAACTCTCACATTGTTTTTTTTTATTAGCATGTTTTGTACTCGTATTCGCACTGGGACAAGCGGCCGTGTGCGCTTCTCCTAAATTTAAAAAGATCGGTAAGAAAATATAATTATAGTGAGGATGTGAAAGTGAATGAGACGGCCGACGGCGGCGAGGCGCAGGCCCCCCTCCCGCCGGCGGCCCGGGCCTAACAATTATAACATCTCATCGTAATTAATTAAATATTTCTAAGAAAAAATGTCTTAAATACCTATAACACCGTAAATATAAAACAAATAATTACGTTTAATTTGTTAGGTATGATATCGTTAACTCCCACCGTCCTATAGACTTCACACCTTCGATTTCATTATCAATTTCCTAGCTAACGTTTTTTTTAACAACATAATCGCGGTCGCGTCTCTGCGGTGTGCGCGCGCGGCGCTCGAGTTGCCTGCCGCACGTGACGTCATCTCAGCGAACGAACTCGGCACGAACGAACAAAAACGCGAAGCGAGCGCGCCGCCCGCTGGCGGACGCACTCCGACTAACACTCCATTATTCAATTAACTACATACTCATAAGTAATAAATTACCTTTAAAAAGAATATTGATTTATTTCGTATCATTTTCAATATTTTTTTTTTGTAACAGGAAACATTTATATTTATAACGTATTTATATAATAATAGCATTTAAAAGATTGTTTATTATTATTACCTATAATTTAATACCTAGATTTATAATATTAATGTTTAATTGATGTAGGTAATGAGTAATAATAATAGCAAATAACGAATCAATGCAACTGAATGCATGTGTGTCGTGAGCACGGCTGAGTGTGAGTATAGAAAGCGCGTAGCACTTCCCATAGCAACTCTACGACGTAGCATCGCATAGACGCTACGATGGATGCTACGCGAGATCCACGACTCTCGCTAGCTGCTGCAAACTAGACAAAGTAGTCAATAAAAATGTCACCAGACCTAACAAATATGATTACTGAATTGACTTCATATTTTTATTCTATTACCTCAAACCTGCGCCTTTGGCTGTATTTTTTTTTATTTATCCCTGTCTTTATTTTATTGAAATATAAGTGTCGTGTAACAAGTACATCTGCACGAAAATTTACTGTTAGAAATATTATTTCGATTAAAACTTTAAATACAACTAAGTACAGTGTAACTCCGCATTTTAGTGGAGTGTCATAATTTTTCAACAGTATCCTTAAAGTACGGTAAATACAATTGTAAGAAACAATGAAATATTATTACGAAATGCACAAAATTGTTATTTATTATAATTACAATACCTACGTTTAAAGGTACAAGATAGAAACGTATTATTATCTTAACGCGATGAGAGATATTTGAAATGTTCCGACTTAGCTTCCCAAAACGGCCTTATGAATCGTAAATATGATCATATTATCCTTAGGATAAAATTTTATATCATAATACATAATATTAGAAGTATGTATACTTGTAACTAACATAGTCTTATACGGAAGTAATCGAGAAACTTGTTCGCTACTGAAACAGAACAGCCGTTCAAAGAGGTGATTTTATACAATTCGAATTAGGCGAAAATAATTACATTCATAGGTAAAATATGCATAATATATAATAGTATAATTATGTTAATATTTGACATTAATATTAAAAATAGATAGAATTAAATATGTGTTGGTGGACGAGCGAGGAGGCGCGCGGACGCTAGAGTCGCGCACCGTTATTGTCTCCGGTCTCCAGTCGTCCCAGGCGCGCGGTTCTGATCGTAACCGTGCGCCACGAGAACGCGCGACCGATCGCGCCACCGCCGACCAACTCAACTCCGTACGTCGGACAGGAGAAGCATATTACGACGCGACCACCGTATCGTGGTGCACTAACCATTCTCAACTACCATACCAAAGCTTCGACTATAATAATTAGTATTGAATGCGAAACGCGCTCGGTGGGGTACAAATCCAAAGGAAATCCACAACTAGAAATACGACACTGTCCGTGCGTATCGAGGACACGTAGTTACACCTTAAACTGTAATTTAACTATGAATAATAAAATATTTAATTATTATTACGTACTTCCCTGCAATATAATTGTCTAGATGCATTTTATATTATTATGACGATGAAATGTATTTTTTTTTGTAGTTTAAAATGTTTATTACTCTGACAACACATCTACGGTACAGTCGAAAGCGAGAAAATATGAAAAAATACCTGTTCATTGATATACTAACTTTGTTCACACGACAAAAAGTAGATATTGTTATTTACAATAGACGAGGTCGGGATGAAGGGATGTGGGGTAGGGTTTAGTTGGGTTGGGTTGGTGCGATCGAGTCGCCGCAATCCGTGCGAGGTGGGACGGTCGCGCGATTTGATGCGCGGGCGGCGTTGTAACGCAATTCGTTGGATAACGCGAATGCGGGTAGTTCGCGGTCGCTGAGCGCCGGCGCGGCGGGTGGCGGGCTGGAGGGGATCTTGCGGCGGCCGGCTGCGCTCAGAGGACGCTACGCGCCGCCACACCGCTCGCCACCTAATTAATAAAAAACGATCACATTCAAAACAAACAATAATAATTTAATAATAGATAGCATAAGAATATTTACTAGTCACTTTTATAATGTTTGTACTGCTGTCTACATATTTCCTTAAATAAACTCAAAGGTCACATGTATTGTGAACAATTAATAGATCCATTACTTATTTTTTGCGGCTGCGTATAATACCAGGCTGAGTATTTAAAAAATCATTTGTGTTAATTTTCTGTGTTCACTTCTACAGTAACGATTACACGCCGGCAGTTTTATTGCGCTATGTTCTTCGTAACTACATTTTAATAAAGTGGGACGAAGGTGCACATAAAAATTATACTCACGTAAAATATTTGTGCTATAACACTTTCAATGATAACCGTTGGTAAAAGCCGCAGGAATCAGGGGTCCCTGGAAAAAAAAGAGAAAAACTATTAGGAGGTTATCGGATGTTGGGTAAACACCGATAAAGGACGATGTAACGAGTTGTGAATAAAATTGAATTAGTTAATCGGGTTTGCGGCATAATTGAGTGGGGGTATAAAGCGTTCAGTCGAACGTTAACCTCTCCTGGGGCAGATTTTAAGGTAGTAAGTTTGGTGTTCGCAGTCGATAGAGTGCTGGCGGGCACGATGTGGCCCACAAAATAAAAACAACGAGTAGATGAGTTAGAGCAACGCGCGACCGCTCGGCAGCGGTAATTACACCGCTTGTTCTCTCTGATTTACGGTTATTGCCCGCGGGGCGTTCCCGTTACCTAATAAGACCGTTTTACACCCGGCAACCACATGCGCCGACCGGCCGACTGCTGGACCGTTCATTCTCTCATTAGCGACGTATTTGTTTTGCCCCAGCGATTACGGACGATTGAGTTAATATCCCGTTTGATATATGACGCGACTGAAACGGAAGGGTGGTTTTAGTGTTGCGCCGCGAGAACAACTCTCCTCACTCCTAGAACAATCGGACTCAGTCCGATGTAAATGTACGGTTATAAATCTTATTTTGCCGAAATAACCAATATTAAAAAATTTAACAGAAATTAATAATGTGATGAAATAACAACAGATTCTAAAATTGTGCGATGTTCGAACGCTATAAAAATTAAAGAAGCTTTCGGGGGTAGTATGAAAGTGTGTTCGAGATACATGGACGTGAGGAGTTAAGTTCGCGGTGGTTGGAGGCGCCGACATGCAATGAAGACTGATGGCGTCTAAGGAAGCAGTTATGGAGCGTGGTCGCAGTTTTAAAAAGCCATTACAGGCAGTGCACCGCGTAGATTGCGCCACTCGCTCGCTCGCCTCATATTTCGGCACACTTTATAATCGCATCTCTCACGCTTTGCTCGTTCGCTAACTTATGGTGATTACGCTTTAAGAGCGACAAGGAAGATCGGTTCAGTAATGAGATTGGACCGTCTCGCTAAAATTTTAGTGTCGTCGACTGCTAATTGCGTCTGCGGTGGGGGCTATCTTTGGAATTACTGGCGCTGTGCCGTAGACGTTGGAGACTTGGCTTTTTTCTGTTGTAATTTTTTTTTTATTGAATAAGCGTGACTAGACTCAAAACATTTTGAAATGAGTTTGTATTTAGTTATAAATTAATCGATTTGTTTGTAGTATTTTGTAACAGAATGCCGGGTTGCAGATTATACTAACTGATCAATTATTTGAATTATAAGGACTACAGAGTTACACTTTATTTATGATAAACATACGAAATATTTGATAAAGATGGTTCAAATTCACTTGTCGAGTATTTGAATATTTGTGATATGATGGAAAATGTCTTTTCAGTATCTGTTATTGAAGTTATTTTTATATTAAACACAACGATCATAAAAATAAACATTTGCAGACATAAATATTTTAGTTTAAAAGAAGGACTAGGAAAAATGAATTTCTAACATCTCGAATTGCAAATCAAAAGCCCCGAAGAAAAACAAAACAGAACAAACATTAATTTGAATTCCGTGACAGTCGAAACTTCTGGAATAAGGACAATTTTGGGAATTGCCTTCATTTGGGTGTTACCGGAATAGGCATTTTGAATATGACGTAATAAATGAAAAAAGTTCGAATCAAAAGTTATTAGTAACTTTATCCCATTCATCTCGAAATAAAATAAATGTGAAACTTTTCTTATACGCATTAACTGTAACGAAATTTTGCTATTTTATAAAAAAAGTTTGATGAAAATTTTACAATCTCTTTATAATATTACATAATTTTAACTATGTTGTAAATTTGTAAAGAGCTTGGTTATATTTATAATAAATCTATGCAGTGACAAAGACAGAAGGAGATAATTCTTTTTTAGGCCCGTTTTTTGTTTATTTACTTATTTTGTTTAAAGTTGGTTTTCATGGAAAAGAACAGAACGTTAGTGCCGTAGAGATGAAATCCCTCGGTATCTAAGCGTCGTACCAATGATACAGTTCGCTTCTGATTCTGATTTAAGCTTTTTTAAGTTTTAGTCTTAAATGTGTATTATCTCTATTTTGTAATTTTATGCATAATTTATATAGCTTTTGCACGTTTTTGTTACAGTTTTAAAAGTAAATATTCATGCTTATTTCTAGGTTTCCATTTCGAACCCACAAATAAACAGTTTCTACTTATATTTCGTGTTTAGCACAAAACACGAAATATAAGTAGACCATTAGCTAAAAGGTCGGATTATAAATAAAAAGACAGCAGTTCATCATGGCATAAGACCATTGCAAGCAGAACGGACAGGATATCAGTGAGAGAGAAAGAGATAGAGAACGATGTTTTACTTTAAAAGCTATGGAAGCCTTTGTACAAGTTTCAGTAATATTTTTATGATCAGGCAGCAAAGCTGAGTTATTGAAATAATCAAACAAACACATAACGATAATTATTCAATTAAGTATGCACACAGTAGAAGTAGTGTATATTATATTTTAATTATTTCATAAAGATTTTTTTTGTTTTTGATGACGTAGAGGAGCTACCTATTAGCAAAATTTGACTGTTTCGAGAATACCGGTTAAAATGAATAAGTTCAAAAAAGCATTAAATTCATAAAGAAAGTAAAATCATTGATTTTTAAAGTGGATAGGTATTGACGTAACAGTCAAGTAGATATAGACAAAATATAAATCCGATCTATTATTAAATTTAGCAGAGCCAACTCTGACTTGAATGTTATATAATAAAATCGTAATTTGTCATCTTTTTATGTAGAACGAGCGCAATGTCACTATTGACTTTTTCAAAATGCTTCGTTGTTTTTTGGACCTTCATAACTTAAGTTTGGATAATCATCTTTGCATAGATGTATATTTTATAATTTATTCATCATAAAACATTCAAGCCTATTTGAATGTCACGGGTGATCATGATTTCATTTTGCCTATATCTGTTCAGTTAAAGAAGCACACTCACTGGGGTGTAATTGAGGGGCGCGCGGCTTACTGCGATCGCGGGGAAACCGGACGGCTGGGGACTTGCCGCTTGGACGTATCCGACGCTGTCCGCTGCCGAGCCGTATACGTCCAGCGCTGGTCCGGGGGAGCTCGCTGCTGGGAAACCAGCCCGGCCGCCGGCGGCATGCGGCGACGCTGGAGGTCCAAAACCGGCAGCTGCTGCTTGGTAGTTGTTCATCACTGGGGACACGTAGAAATCTATTGTTAGTTTGTGCAGTGTGCACACTGCTTTATAGTCAGGGATATAATTTTGTTTCTACTTATTATTAAAATAAATGCATCAATATTTTTTTTTCCAAATTAAATATTTTAATCGGTTTTATTATTTGGAGGGTTTTGAATTAAGTAATCGATAATAAAAGTTTGGTTAACACCGTAACATCTAATGACAGTATAATTATTGTATATTACTTTGTGTAATTTAAATACAAACTATCACCATTAATGGCTATTTCCTTAACAATATCCTCGTTATGATGAAATCTTTAAAATCAACCAAATCTAAAATGGTGACCTAAATTAAGTACGAATCAGTGTAGTGTTAAATTAATTTTCAATTTATTGACTGTAAGACTGGCTAACTTAAAATAAAACGGAGATTTACAGTATGTATCTTTATTTATATCTGATTTAGATAATCTAAAAAACCTGTTCATTCATTTCGATTGCCACCCTCACTAATGGACAACGCAATCAAGTATATGGTAGTAGTTATTGATGGTGTATCATTATAATGTTCGTATTTAAGTTTATGAGGCGTTTTATTATTAAATGGTGTTTTTGATCGTAATTGTAATGTGTGTTGATTGAGCTATCAGAATAAACAACAAAGGATGCAGAACACATAAAGCGAAAAATACTTGACTTCTCGGGGTAAACTTTAAAAGCCAACTTTCAATACATCGTGTGTACTCTGTCTTACTTTACGGCTTTAAAAAAGTTTGAGTAGGATACGCGATATGGTTCACGATATATTGTATGTGGATTTTAACAGTGCAGCTAGGTTTTAGTGTAGAAGTGGAATACAGACGAATGAAATGCAATGTATACAGATGAATTAAATGTAACCAGAACTGTATATAGTTGAATGAAATTGATGTAAAGGCGTTCTCACCTGAGAGCGCCTGCGCGAGCAGCGGTGTGTTGTTGTTCGGTGTGAGTTGGCCGTTGGTCAGGTCAACTGCAAACATACACACGTTTCGCATTCACACGGACGACTCACAGACTAGTTAGTCACACATCCATGACTGAACCATCGTTTTACGATACCCTAAAAATCCTACCTCGATGTATACCGGCATAAACGTATGAATAGTTTTCTCTTCCGAAACAGATGTTAAGACCTACTAAAAGGACACAAGATTATCTTGGGAAACAAAAAAAAAATATCACGTATGTCACGTGCATTCAAATGAAAAAGAGAGCTAGAAGTTTCGCGGATATAAATCACAGAGGGCGAAAAAACTTTTACAAAATATCCAGTAAATTATCCGACGTGAGTTCTCGCTGGCACGCGGCGGTCTGCTTATTGAATAGGGAATGTTATTAGCATACGCCGCACGTCGTCGCATCTTGACGCAGCTCGCGCCGTCCGCCTTGGCTTACGAACGCGTCTGACTTACGCATCTAAGAGCTATTTCCACTCAACAATAAACGTTTTTTAAATATATATATTATACATATAATTAGTAAAATATGAACGTACAATAAGAATGAATGTACGACAGAATTTTATAATAATCAATCTGTGCAATCGAAATAACTATAAACACAGACCCTCGTTTCAAACAGTTCACCCTAAGCGAACATTCATACCTTGAACTATCAAAAGAGTTTTTATATATTTTATTTCCTAGAAAGTGGACAGACATTCACTTTTTTGCGATCTCATAGTGTACCCATTACCCATTGGCTTGTACGACAAATTTTATTTTTGTCAGATGCGCGAGTTATGACTTAGTGTGAAAAATGGAGGACCTCGGTAGCACCAGGTGATTACCGGCCTGCGAATGACTTGGCGAAAAAAGTACAATATAAGTAATGGAGGATGGATGATAGATCGCGCGGCCGCGACCGACGCTCGGACGCGCGCGCGTGCGTTCGCGCTCCTAGCCTCACAAAATGCTGACACATTTTAATAACATTACTCCGGACGTGAGAGGCTATTTACTTGAGGGCCGTCGTGTAATAAACAAGAATTTGATAGCGTAGACTCGTCTCTGATCGTTTATGCTATCATTCTTTTCCCATTATACCGCAGTCATTATTGGTCAGGTCAATGTGGTAGTTATTTCGTTTCAAAGATGCTCTATTACATGTGAATAAAATAAAATGCATCCAAAATTTTACCTATTATACTAGTAATAAATATTCCTCAATCTCGCTTAAACCTGTAAAGTTACAAACAGGTACATCTCACCCTTGCAAGGCGTGTTTCACCTCAAATAATTTACGACTTAAATCGCGTTAACAGGCGAGAGGCGCGAGCTATCTACACCGGTCATATCTGCTCCCGACGTTTGCTTGTAGTTAACATACATCTCAAATGTAATTTGTGCGTATAACAGTTGAAGTTTCTTGAAACTTTGCGCAGCAAAGGAGCCAGAAAATTGAGTCATCTAAGCAGAAAGCCTACCAGTTCATGCCGAGCTTTCCAAAATGTAACTTATGTATGAATGTGACGTTAACAACGTTGAAAACATGCATTTGATTTAAACTGCTCGACTTTTAGTTGTGACAAGTTAATAAAAATATTAGCATGCCACCGGCGCTTGATAATATCGTATTAATTCAAACCCACGTCTGTTATTTTCTGAATGTTTTCAGTGGAACTCGTAAAGTATGTCGTTCGTTATAAAGGTGAGCACATATTCATCTATAAATTCAGAGGCCGTCTTATGAGAGCTATTCGAACTTTCATAATTGCGAAGTTCGGCAAACTTAATAATTCTTCTTCTGAAGTGGGATGACGGTCGAAGGAAATATTCACGGGGTGTAGTACGTACTCCCGCCCTTCCAGCTAGTATATTAAGCGGGCCTTTTTATGTATAACAATGTTCAACTCCACTTCGAAAATCGGGGCTTGGAATTTTCGTAAGGTATGTGCGGATGCTTTAGTGTTACATGAGAAATAGGAGTTGGAACGAAATTTGTCGGCAGTTAAGGGAATAAAACGTGAAAAGTTAGTTCGGCGAAATAGAAACCTGAAGTAGAGCCATGTTAACTTTTTATAACTTTTAATATACGTTAAAAAAGGAGATGTGATTTTATATCATGTGTTAAATTTATCAGTAACTACATTTATGTTGAAACATTACTTTTATTACAGACAAATAACAATATATTATTTGTCTTCGCATTTTATTTATATTCAGTGAAAATAAGTAATCTGTAAGCAACGTGAATTGCCAGCATTAAGAATGTAGCTTCTTTTAAAATACTCGCACACACCATATAAAGTTGCGGGCTCATTCCTCACGAACAAGATCCTAATACTTTATTCCACTTGGCTCGATTGATATGTTTTATTCGAGTGTTTACTGGGATAACCTGGCTCTCGCACACATCGCAACGGAAACGTGTTTTTAATAGGTGCCATCAATAACTCCTCGCGAAGATGATACGCCTTTGCGAGTTTTCGATCGCTTAGCCGTTTGGGACTTATCTCAATTGCAAATTAATCGGATTTCTATGCTGACGCTGCCCGCACGCACGCTTATTTGAATTACAAAGAAGGCGTCTTGTCCTTTCTTTAAACCACACGAGATTTCAGTTCGGTTGCTGACTATACTCGTAAAATAAATGTCGAGAGATTTTCCATAATGCTCGATGCCGTGGTTCAGCCATAGATTTAAAAAAATTATAGAAATGTACTTAAGAAACATGTAAAGCCACATTAAAAAGCATACGAAATTATGAATCTTCAGATACAACACACAAGAATAATGAGAAAAATTCAAAATTGTATTTCTTTTCTACAAAAAAACTAATTCTCGATTTAATTCTACCCATGTTGTCAAATTGACGGCGTGGATTAGTTCCACTTACTACTACATCAACTACAGCTTAATTTTTAACTATTCTATGTTATCAGTCGAAATTTTACTATTCTAATATTAGCTTTCATTTGTAACAACGAATAATATATATTGTTACTTTATCTCTTTTTACTTCATTCTAAGGCACAAATGGAATAATCACAATAAAAATCTATTCTAGAAACTCTTAAGACTAATTAAAATACAACTATAAAAAGAGTTTGCACCACCAATCACAAAATCGTTATTTTTTTACCACCTATGTCTAACGCTTACTTTCTACCTACTGTCTCAAAAAAGCATATCAAAAAGACATTTCGACGCCTCTTCAAAATATTCTTACAACTATATTTAAAGCTTTTTCTAATTACATTTTTTTAAAACCACCCGCATATATTTTTTATCTAGTTCTATATTACTATATGGAGAATTTCTAATTTTGATCTTTCAACAAATCGGGTCTACAGTTACAAAATTCTTTATCAACTTAATTTTCGTTTAATTTTAGTTCTAAACTCATATTCTCTATTCTAGTTGCTATATATAAAAATTTCTAATTTACTTACAACTTTAAACGCTATGAGTTTTCTACTATAACATTTTTTTAACCTCTTCTTTGATATTCTATTCTAATTCTCCATAATAATTACGATACAGAACAAACTTTCATAATGTTCAAAAGAGAAATTACTCGCCCTATTTAGCAGCGGATGTCTCTCCATACTTTCGCCAAACTGCGGTCTCTTGGTATCACATACTTTTTATAAACACGTGATTGCTACAAATATGTCGGTAAGTAAATCCCTTATCCCTGAGCGCCGCAGAAAGAATAGGATATAAGGTGAAATGGAATGAGAGGTAGGGCCATTAAGTCTTCGACTAATTCGACCTCCATGCAGGAGAAAGGACTTACTACGCGCACATTCATTTATTGCGCAGACTGTGTGCACTCAATCTGACACTAACTAGAAGAGATTAGTATGCTAATGGTACCCATTATCATCTCATGGACAGACCCCATTTCGGTGAAATTCTACAATAAACATTTATGGGCGAGGGAGCTCGCTAGACTAGCATTTATAGTCAAAATCTATGGACATCCATTAAATAAAACTATGTATCTATAAGAAATAAAAATAATTAATATTCTGACCCATCCAAACACAGCACTCGGATCTAAAATTGATGGCTAGGAGCTAGAGCTATTTTTTACATATGTCTAAGAGGTGGTTAGGTTGCGCTGAACCAGAGCGCTGATCCGACCTAAGTAACAAGCACTAAATGTAACACAGTTACTAACACAATTAACGGTCAAATATCTTAAATTACAAATGGAGTTGGCACTGTTCACGACTCGCGGCCACTCGCCGCCTCCTTTGCTAATTATTTGGATCCAAATCGAAGGCACGGTCTCGTTTAAAAGAATTACGTTTTAAGACACTAATTTGTCATGGCATTAGTTTTCCGTCCAGGAAAATTTTATATTCGAAAATAATATTTCTAGGAATGAAACGACCGAATATTTCTAGGAATTTTAAATTTAAGGTGCAAGTAAGCAAAGAGGAGCTATGCAAAATAGTTGCGTGTTTGGTTCGCGGGCTGCATTCTGAGGGCGAGCGTGTTGAATGTGGGGAATGTTAGACATGCGGCGGCGGGCCGGCCGCGGTCGCACGTGCCTCCCGCGGGCAGTACCGGTTCGAACCGGTTGAAACCGGATCCAATAGCTTATAACCGGTTCCTATGATGCGGTACTGCATCGCTTATACATGCTCGGGCTTACCGGCTGGCTGGGCAGGCGCTCGTTGCGGACACCACGCTGCGTGAACCGTGTTGGATGAGTCAGGAAAACGAAATACCATCGTTAAAATAGATTTATGTATAAATATTTAGATACGAACAGCGAACTTTGCGAAGAATAATCAAACTCTAACGCACGCTAGCCAACTCCGCGCCAACATACTATCTCTTCTAGTTTATTTAGGTCGTAATCGATATGCGAACGAATAGTAAATAATTGAGGCGCTGTTCGACCTCACCTTTTGAATGATTGGACAATAAACGATAAAACGGTTTTGCTTATACAACGGCAATTTCCTTTATTTTAAAATATAGCGGCTTCACAATATTATAAACTTACAGATAA